TGAAGAGATTCACCTCCTGAGAAGTAGAGGGATGCCTCGACATACTCCAGGTTGTCTAAAGGAGACAGAAGCAAGGCTTCAATGGGAAAAGGGGGGGTGCAGATCTAAGGTAGAGGAGAAGAGACTTGACCTTTGTCAAGATGATGAAATATAGAAGAGTGTTACACAGAGGAAAAAGAGAAGAAAAAGGACAACGACACAATTAGAACTCAAAGACAGAGTTGAGACCATTGATGAAGAGGAAACAACTGGATAGTCTGAGGAGAAGCAGGCCACTTGTCCTTCAAAGAATGACAGTGTGGAGGCAGAGGAATGATCAGATGAGTGATTACCAAGTAAGGGGCTGAGGAAGAAGAGAAGAGTAGTGGGAATAGTAGGAGATTCCTTGCTCTGAGGGACAGAGATCTGTTACCTGTTGAAGAGATAACAATAGAACGGTCTGTCGTCTTCTGGAGCATGTATCCTGGACATAACAGAAAACTTCCCAAGACTTATCAAAATGAGTGCCAACTCTCCACTTCTGATGATTTTCACGTGGGCATGAGTGATACTTGTAAAAGGAACTCTAAAAAATGTTGACAATTGTGAAGTTTGAGCAAGCAACGGAAGACTGTTGGGTGGTAGGTTGTATTTTTTTCACAACTTTTGACCAAGGCGGGATGAGCAGCCCTGAAAAAGGCTTGGTGTGCCCCAACACCAGAGGTGCTATAGTCCTCCCCGAACACCCCATGAGCTCTTGGCAGAGTAGAAAGTCTTGGGATGGGTGGAGGGGCTAAAGGGCTGGGTCAAAACACCTGAGGTCACCTTTCCCTAGTTTTTAAAATAAAAGGCTAGCTAAAGCCAGTTCAGTCAAGTATTGGTGCCAAGGGCCAAGTTAAGTAAGGAGATAGTAAGTGAGCACCTCACTGCTCTGGAAGAATTCTAGGCACCTGGCCTGGATGGTTCTGAAAGAACTGGAAGATCTGTCGGCTGAGCCACTTTTGGTGATATTTGAAAAATCATGAAAAATGAAAGAGGTCCCACAAGACTGGAGAAAGGCAAATCACTGATTTTCAGAAAAAGGAACAAAAACAGGGTCTGCAAATTATAGTCCAGTGCGCTTATCTTTAATTCCAAGAAAATGAGTTAGTTTTTTTTTTTAATTCCTAGAGGGGTTCATTAAAGAGTTGGTTGATTGACATCTAGAAAGGGAACCATTGATCAGAATGAGCCTTCAAGACTTCTTCAAGAGCAGGTCATGCAACCAATGACCTCCATTCCTTTGAAGAGGTGGAGGTGGAGGGGTGATATGGGTATGGGACCTTATATATAACGTCAGATTTTTCCTATGTATTGATAGGTTTTACTGAATCTTTTTTCTCTCCTTCTTTAAAGGAATTATTTGTTATAGTGTCTAGCTTTCTGGGAGGAGAGAAAGAGAGAAACTGGGCAACATAGGTGATGTGAAAACAAAAGATATAAATAAAATTGATTTTTCAAAGTTCAAAATTCTTTAATATACTAAAAGCAAAACAGAACAGGTCTGCCTGCCTGACTTCATTTCTTTGTGCTGAGTGTGACAGGAGCTCTCCAGTGGAGTGCTCCAGGGATCTGTTCTTAACTCTGCAATTTAACATTTTTTTATCAATGACTTATACTCGTCAAATTAGCAGATGACAGAAAGTTAGGAAAGACAGCTAGCTAAGAAAGCTAGAAAGGCCAATAGGTGGTGCTGGAGTCAGGAAGACCCGAGTTCAAATGTGGCCTCAGACACTTCATTAGCTGTTAACCTTGGAGAAGTTAGCACGCGTAACCCCGGTTTAAATTTCTTAAACCTCTGCCTTATCTGCAAAATGGGGATAATAACAGCACTTCCATCCCAGGCAGTTGTGAAGATCAAAGGAGATGATAACCATAAAGTGCTTTGCAAACCTTTAAACACCAGCAATTATTATAGTTACTACTACTACTGCTACTGCTACTACTACTACTACTACTACTACCACCACCACTACTACTACTACTACTACCACCATCACTACTACTACACTGGATGACAGATCCCAAAGGATCTGTAAAGGCCAGAGAGGGTTGAGTCTAATAAGGGAACATTCAATAGGGATAAATTTAGTTATTCTGAAAAAAGATAATAATAATAGCTAACAATTACATATGCTTACTATGTGCCAGGCAACATGCTAAACACTTTACAATTATTATCTCATTTGATTCTCACAGCAGCCCTGGGAGGTAGCTGCTTTATTATATTTATAGATGAAGAAACTGAGGCAAAGAGAGGTTGAGTTTTGCCCAGGGTCACCCAGCTGGTAAGTAGCTGAGGCTGGATTTGAACTCAAGTCTGACTCTGGGTGCAGTGTTCTATCTGCTGTATCACCCAGCTGCCATCTGGGAATTTTAGCGGACTTCACTCCATATGAGTCAGTGGGTGAAAAAGCAAACAAAACCTGCATTAACATCAGCCTAACTTCTAGAAAGAGGGAAGTTATAGTCAGTCCTACTGTTCTCTGCTTTTGTTAGACCTCATTTAGAGAACTGTGTTCAATTCTGAGTGCTGCAGTTTAAACAGAGCATGCACGGGCTGGACTGTCCAGAGGAAGTAGGTGGTATAATAGACGGGTCACTGGGCTTGAAGTCAGGAAGACCCGAGTTTGAGTCCTGGCTCAGAATCTTACTCACCACCTGCCTTAGAGCAAGTGAAAAACTCTTAGCTTTGATTTCATCATCCATAAAATGAAGATAATAATAAATTAGCTCCACAAATGCATACAGCATCCACGGGAAGAGTAGGTATAATTTAAGAGTATGGCAGAATTGAGGCACACACCAAGGAATTAGGGAGCAAGGCAGTTCACTTGTGTGTGCAAGTTGGGGGGGAGGGGTAGCGTAGCTCCAGAGGAGGAGTCATAGATGTAGGCTTGGAAGTCAGTCAATAAACAATTATTAAACATTTACTACTCACCAGGACCTGTGCTAAGCACTGTCAATACAAAAAAGAGGCAAAAGACAGTCCCTGCTCTCAAGGAGCTCACAGTCTCAAGGGGGAGACAGTTGAAAATAACTATATATAAACAAGCTATTTGTTCAGTTGTTTCAGTCATGTGAGACTCTTCATGACCCCACTTGGAGTTTTCTTGGCAAAGATATTGGAGTGGTTTGCCATTTTTTTCCTCCAGACCATTTTACAGATGAGGAAACTGAGGCAAACAGGGTAAAGTGACTTGCCTAGGGTCACACAGCCAGTAAGTGTCTGAGTCTGGATTTGAACTTGGGAAGATGAATCTTCCTGGCTCTAGCCTCAGCACTCAACTGCACCGCTAGCTTCCCTATATATGTTATGTACAGGATAAATTAGAAGTTAAAAAAATAACAGAGGGAAAGGGTGGATCAGGAAAGTCTTCCTGTAGAAGGTGAGATTTTAGTTGAGTCTTAAAAGGAGGCCAGGGAAGCCAGGAGGTGGGGATGAGGATAGATAGCATTCCAGGCATGAGAGACAGCCAGTGAAAATGCCTGGAGTCAGGGGCAGTTAGGTGGCACAGTGGATAGAGCACTGGCTCTGAAGTTAGGAGGACCCGAGTTCAAAATCTGACCTCAGACACATAACACTAGCTGTGTGACCCTGGGTAAGTCACTTAACCCCATTGCCTAGAAAAAACCATAACCAAACAAGCAAAAGAAAATACCTAGAGTCAGGACATGGAGGGCCTTGTTTGAGGAACAGGCAGGAGGCCAGAGTCACTGCCCTGAAGAATAATTGGAAAGGTGGTGGTGGGGATAGATTACATAGGGCTTTGAACCGCAAACACAGGATTTTATATTTGATCCTACAGGTGATAGGGAGCTGCTAAACTTTATTAAGTAGAGAGGTGACAGGGTCATACCTGTGCTTTAGGAAGATCACTTTGACAGCTAAATGGAAGATGGACTGGAGTGGAGAGAGACTGCGCAGGTGAGGAGATGAGGCGCCAGTGTCTAAGGTGGCTGGTGTTAGTATTAGCAGAGAGAAAGAGGCATGTAGAGGAGATGTCAGGAAGGTAAAATAAATTGGCTTTGGCAATAGATTGGATATGAGGGGGGTGGAGAGTGAGGAACCTGAGTGAGTTTAGGTATCAGTCAATCAATTACTGTAATAAACACTTATTAAACTCCAGAATGTGCTAGGTAGTGTGCTAAACCCTGAGAGGTACAAAAAAAGGCAATAACCCAATCCCTGCCTTCCAGGAGTTTACAATTCAGTGTGGAAGACAAGTATATAAGAAGTTCAAGGAAACAAGCATATGCAAATTATATGCAAGATACATACAGGATAAACAAGAGATGGGAGGGAAGGCATTGGAATTAAAAAGGGTAGTCAGGGAGTTTCTTAACCTAATGGTCCCTGAATTTAAAAAAAACTATTTTGATAGTTGTACTTCAATATAATTGATTTCCTCTCTAATCCTAAATATTTTATTTGATGTATTTAAAGACCATAATCTTAAAAGTGGTCCACAGGCTTTACCAGATTGTCAAAGAGGTCCAGGACACACAAAAATGTTAAGAGCCCTTGATCTGGTCCAACCCACTCACTTTACATAAAGATAGAGACACAGAGACTCAGAAACTGGCCCAAGGTCACAAGGGCAGTAGATGGGAAGTGACTTGTTTAAGGTCACATAGTTACAGATATTGAGCCCAGATGCGAGCCCAATTTTTTCTGCTTCCCAATCCACTGCACCACTGAGACGAGAGAAGCTATTAATGCACTCGTAGGTACGGTTCTACATGCATTCTTGCGGAGCGGATTGAAGGTAAGGGCAAGAGACGGTGGCAAAGATGGGAAGGGAAGTTGGGAGGCTGCCCGTTCCTCCCGCTCTCTCAGGTCACGCCCCTTCACCTCCTGCAGCGCAACGTCTTCCAGCCGCGGCCGCGACGCGGGCCCTCCTCCTCCCCACGCCCCACCTGCGCTCTCGGGGCGGGGCCCCGGGCTGCGCCGCGTTGCGTAGCGTAACGCCGCGCGCGCACGGAACCCCGGCTCCTGCTGGCCCCTCCCCTCCCCGCCGTAGGTCGGTCGGTGCCGGAGCGGGGCGAAGATGGCGGCTCCGCTCATTCCGCTCTCCCAGCAGGTACGGGGCGGGGGGCGGCAGAGGCGGCGGGGGCGGGCCTCGGAGCGCGCGAGGCCCGCGCGGGGCCGGGCCAGCTGAGGCGGAGGGCCCGGGCTCCGGCTTGGGTCGGGCAGGGCCGGGGCGGGGAGCCGCGGAGCAGGCCGGGGCCGCCCCAGGGGAGGCGTCGGGAGCGCGGGCCGGCTGGCGGGGTCGGCTCGGGCGCCCCCTCCCCCCCGGAGGTGACAGACCCAGGGAGCGTGGCCCTGGGGAGCGGGGTGGTGGCCGAGCGCTTGGGGATCCCCTTCAGGCCCGACCAGAGTGACATGTCATTCTAGGCGCTGGGAGAAGGAGGGAGGAGGAGGAGGAGGAGGAAGAGGAGGAAGAGGAGGAGGAGGATGCAGGCCCCCAGAGGAGGAATGCTGGCCGAGGACTCGGTGCTGAGAGGAGGAGGGAGTGCTTGTCTCAGCCCGAGTGAGAGTATGAGACCGAGAGTAAAAGGAGGCGGGGGCGGGAGGGGAGCCATTCATTCTCCCCGGCGTGGAGACCCCGACCCCCGCGCTCACTGCGGCCACCCCGAGGCTGCCCGGGGGCCGACCCTCGTCTGATCACATTGCTGCCTGTCAGGTTTTCCCTTGAGATGCGGGCTTTGGCGGCCCCAAGTCGGTCCCTCGGCTGCCGTTTGAGCCCCTGCTTGGGGTGACTCGCCGCTCCACCCCCCGAGTCCTGTTTTCGTGCCTCATTGTGACATGGAGGTGACTCGAAGGCTGAGCCGGTGGAGCGCAGACTCTCGGAGCCCCACCACATTGGAAAGGCTTCAGGGCCGGCCTCCCAGGACCGGGCTAGCCGAGTTTGCAGAGGCTCAGCACCAGCTTGGCCCCGAGGGATGAATCTGGGAGCCACAGAAACCCTCAGACGTTTGCCCGAGGTGTAGACGGGTTGCTGTCTGCATTGTTGGAGGGAGTACATCCACAAACTCAAGTGTTGAAGTTTGACGTTGCAATACAGGCTGAAGCTTTATAGCTAAGATGATTTAAACAAGTGATATGCTGGTGTAAAATGACTTCTTCGGATGTAGTATCGGTTTTTACGAGGTCCTTGGCCTTATGTCGTGGTTGGTTGGTTTTTTCCAGGTTTTGAGGCATATATATATATATATATATATATATATATATATATATATATATGTAAAATATAAAAGAGGTAATGGAAGTATTAGTGGCCTGAGAATTAGGAGATGGGTGTTTTGCCAGCTCTGCCAGTAAAGTCACTGTGTGACTTTGGTCAGGTCATCCCAGAAGGCCTCAGTGTTCACACCAATTAGATTTAGAGATTGGAGTAAATGATCTTTAGAGCCCCTTCCGTCTCTAACAATCAGTTATTTTTAAAGTGCTTTAATTAATTACTCATGGTGTGGTTAAGAGGCACCATACAGAGAAAACATTTAAGAATCACTTCTCACCAGAAGATATAATCTCAGATAGCACTGATAGGTATATACATTTCCAGGAAGTAGATGGCATTAAATTTAGACATAAATGGACAATAAGACATGGTACGTGTGAGTGTTAAAAGTCCAAACTGTATGATTATTAAGTTTTAGAGGAGCAGACACATTTGGAATATTTATCACTAATTTAGTATCATTCAGTTCAATTTTAGGCATTGTAGCAGAGGGATATGAAAATGAATAGGGAAGGGTTCCTGCTTCCCTCAAAGGGTTACGATTTAGTGGAAAGGATAAGATATGGCTAGAACTTTAACACAAAGTAGAAATCACTAAGTATGTAAGAAATACAGCTAAGTGCTAGAACAGTTCAGAGGGGGGAGAGATGATTTATCATATGCTAAACTCAGTTTTCAGGGCTGTGCTTTAAATAGTGAGTAAAACCTCCCTAATTTGCTTACTAATCAAAGCATGATGATCTCCCTTTCTGTTGGGGGGTCTGAGAGATTTAAGACTAGCTAGAAAATTTTAACATTGTCTCGAGTTTGAGCATTTGATCTTATTTTAACCCAACATATATTTGTCAAATACAGGTTCTGGAAAGGTTGTTGGGAGTACATACAAAACTGGTGAATAACAGACAGTAGCTTGGAGTTCCATGCCCAAAACTCTGGCATCTGACAGTTTTTCATCCATGATTTGTTTATTCTGATCTGCATGGCCAGTTTTTCTTTTTTATTTCTGTAGATATTATGCCCATTATGATATGGGGTTGTGAGAGAGTAAGACAAAACATGTAAAATATAGAATAACAGAGTTGTTAGGGACCTAAAAAGTCACCTAGTCCAATCCCCTGCCAACTGCATTAATACGTTTTGTGGTATCTCCAGCACATGGTTGTGAAGCATCTAACTACTTTCAGGGATGGGAAAGTCACTGCCTTGAAAGGCAACATTTCCATTTTTAGACAACTCATACTGTTAGGAAATTATTTTATATTGAAGGGAAATCTTTCTTAAGGAGCTTCTTGTATAGTTGGAAAGGTTAGGTATGCATGTAAGTAATGATAACATGAATGAATGAAAAATATTTAGTAAATGTTTACTATGTGGCAAACATTGTTATGTATTAAGTCAGTATTCTCATTGCTAAGGTGAGACTTGACTTGGGCCTTGAAGGCTAGGTTAGAGTTTTATAGACTGAGGTAGGTACAGAGTAGGTACTGGTAAAGGCAAAGAGTTGAGAAAACATTGAATAAATTGGTTTAAAATGAGAGGTAGGGAAAATTGAGGTGTGTAGGAGAGTTGTGAAGGCGATAAAGAGTTAACTTCACAGTATCTCCTTGTTTTTTCTCCCTGAGCAGGGGGCCCCCAATAACTGTCCATTTACTCTTTTCCTCAAAGCCCCTTTCCACTGAATCTGGAATTTCTTTCTACTTGCACCTTTCTTTTACCCTGAAGATAATTGTGGATCAGTAAATCAACAAGCAATTAAGTACTTACCCTGAGCCAGGCCCAGGGGGTGGATACAAAGTAGATGATCATGAAGACTTTTGGTATCCATATCTAAGCAAAGCTGTGGGGTTTTTTTGTCCATATTTCTTTTTTGATAGTTAAATTTGACAACTCTTGTGTTTTATACACAGTTCTTGAATCATAGTATTTTATTCTTCGAGGTATTTCCATGCCACCTTTGCTTTCCCTAAAATAATTTCTAACTGTTGATTTCTTCAAGGAATGCTTGTGGGAATGTAGTGTTATCTTCTTGCTGGAGCACTGGCCTTGCCTGGGAGTAAAGGGGATCTTTATCTTAGAATCAGATTTGCCTTTGTGTGGCTTAAGATATATCACTTAATAACCATCCTTAACATTCTTCCTCTCCTGTTTTACAGGACGTGAAAGACTAGTGAATGTGATATAACAATTTTAGATTTATTTATTTATTTTCAAGGCAATTAGGGTTAAGTGACCTGCCCAAGGTCACACAGCTAGTAAGTGTCAAGTGTCTGAGGTCGCATTTGAACTCAGGTCCTTCTCACTCCAGAACCAGTGCTCTATCCATTGTGCCACCTAGCTGCCCCCACATTTTTAGATCTTTAGAAAAAATATGTTACTGTAATAAATGCTTGATGGCACAGACCTTAGGGATAATGGAAAAAGAAAAAAAGATTAATTTCATTTCAAAGGCTAACAAATATTTCGGTACTGATGTGGGAAACATTCTTAGATTTCTTGAAATCTGAGCCTCATGACCATTTCTTATTCAAAATGATCCTGTGATTATGTACCTGACTTACTGATAAACATTACCTTGGCTTCTGGTGCATATGGCATCTTTTCTCTATTTCATCTAAGTTAAACTTTGATACTGTTTTCTTTTTCTTGCATCTTGTCCTTAGTGTTAGCTAGCAAGATAAGGGAAGAGGAGCTTCTGACTGGATGAGATGGTGCTATTGGTCTCAGTGTTATTCTGCAGATTAAGATGCCTCAGATTGTGTCACCTTGCTCTTCTCACAGACAGGCATCTGCCTTTTTGTCACCATGAAAACCATCCATCTCAGTTCATGTTGTCAGGATATCTTAACCTTGTAATGACCTAAGCATCTTGTAATGCATTTGTCAATATGGGAAGCTCTAGCAAGTTTTTTTGGATTCCATCAGTGCCATCTCTATTCTATATTTAGGTCCTAAACCAGTTGTATTGAATTACTCTTTGAATGTGAACAATTTAGTGATTGATGCTTTGTAGAACAGTGACAGTACCTAACCATTAAAGACCCTAAAAGCTAATGGACTAGATAGCACATGATCATTTTTAATTGTACTGGTTTTAAAATGTATATAAAAGTTACTTATTCTTACTGCATCATGAAGGGAGAATGAGAAAATTAATCACTGATTGTGGGATTGCTATAGTACCTTCAATGAGTCTATTATCTTTACTGAATTAAAAAAATAAACATTTATTAAGTGCTTACTATGTACTAGACACTATGCTGAGTGTTTGGGGACCCAAGGACAAAGGCAAAAAGGTTTCTACTCTCAGGGGTTTACATTCTAATTAGGTGACAACATGCACATGTTTTCACCAAACTGGCTCTGGCTTCTTGGAGGACCAGGAAGGACTTCCTGCAGAAAGCTGCAGAAACCAATGATTCCAAGAGGCAGGGGAGAGATGGGAGTACATTCCAGGCATGGAGGACTGCTAGTGCAGCTTGGGGGGGTGAGGTATGGTGAAGGGGGGGGAACATATGTAATAGAGCTGGAAAGGGGAGATGTTGTCAAAGGTGAAGAACTTTAAATACAAACCGGAGTTTATATATGATCCTAGAGGTAATAGGGAGCCACTGGAATTTAGTAAAGTGGTGGTGGGAGGACATAGTCCCACTTGTACTTCAGGAAGAACACTTTGGCAGCTGTGTGGAATGTAGGTTGTAGTGGGGAGATATTAGACTAGGCTGGGAGACCAATAAAAAGGCTTCTGTAATAGTTCACTCAAAGGTGAGAAGAGTCTGTATGAAAGTGATGTGTGAGAGTATAAAAGTCTTCCAGATTTAGAAAGAAATAAAATGCTAACG